ACGGGTAAAGTGATAAACACATGTACTGACTTCTAGTTGAAAATATCACAGATTCTTTACAATCTTATTCCCTTTCATAGTCTCGGTATTTATACATCTACATAAGTACCAATATCTTTTACATATAGATTGTGAATTATCAATAGCCTTAAGCATCGATCTTTTTCAGAGTTATGATTGAGCATACATACAGCTGCATAATTGTTGGACTCGTATTTAAATAGTTTTGTTATTTTTTATCCCATTCTATCTTGCAATGAATAATAGGAAAATTGTAATTGCCAGTATGAGGCTACTGTAAACATTTTTAGTCAAAATCCTACGAGCTAGATAAAGTAGGTTAATTCATCTCACGAATAAATCTTTAAATCAGCGATATAAAGGGAAGCTTGGTTTCGAAGATTTATGCTAGCGTACCTTTCAGTTCTTTTGAAAATGCGAATAAAAGGGATTTGTAAATTGGTTTTAGCGGATAGCAAAGTAAGATTACGTTGGAGCTCTGGCTGTTGGATGGCGCGAAGAAGATCTCCGTTCATCATCCTGCGACCTTTCTAGAAAAAGGGATTTTTTTTTAATTTTTCGTAAATAATAATTTCTAGCTTTGAAGATGTCAATTGCATGAAGCAATATATCTCAGTACAGATTCATTGTGATGGTGAACCATGATTCTTTTCGTGCAATCCAACAGTCACAGGTATGGAGTAACCCTCCTTCACTATCAGATAAGCTCAATTTACAAATCCCTTCCACCCGTATTTTCAAATGAAATGAAAGGTATTTCGGCATCAATGCTAAATTTAATTGCTAATTAATAATATACATTTAATATCGGTTTTTGAATCCATTATTTTGAATTACCAATTTTGTCAAATGAACAAATCAGAAAACTACTATTTATAAGCTAAAGCATGAAGAAAAATAAGAGAGATTATCAGACAATATTTAACTATGTCGATTGATAATAATATCGAAGTTTTTCAACTTCTTTCACAATTTCAAATATTACACATAGCTCGCTAAATTACTTAGTGTATTTCATTTATTTAGTTCTAAAACTTATTGATTCACTGTAAGAAAAATTCTTCAATATGAGGCTTCTATAGCCACTATGGTTTCAAAATAATTTATCTGTTTTCTGATTAATTTATACTTTTCTTTATTTGCATATATAAACCCACTTATATATTAGTATATATAAATTGCAAATATTACATATAAAAAGGAGAATTTGTTCAACCTATTTCATTTGAGGTGATAAAGGACTGCTAGTAGAAATTCCCACAATGCCATGAGTATACCTGAAGCTTCCATTAAATTTCCCATATTCTTGTTTCGCCAAAAGGTGAATAAATGTCCTCTAACTAATTTACTACTACTATCTAAACCCTACCTCTAAAAACAGAAAATTAATTATAAATTCTGTATTGATATACTAAATTTAGATAACAATTTTTCATGTATTCTAATATAGAGAATGAATAGAATGCTTCCATAATTATCTATTAATAATGATCATGATTGATTATTAAATCTAAAGAATTCTTGATAGATCCTTTATAATAAAAAATAAATATTTAGCACTAACGGAACTTAATAAAAATAAATGCACTTTTTATTTATCCATTTAATGAATTAGTGTAAAGTTTGAACCTGAAAGCATATTTATTTAGGGCATTAATTAATTTTATTGAAATAAAGTCAAAGACCTAGGATAATAATTACTTTTTCACCCTCAAATTAATACTTGTTAAGGACTTAGATTAACAAATTTTTGCCAAAGAAGGAAATTAAGTTTGGTAAAATAAAATAGAAAATTTGTTAAAGTCCTAAATTTTTAAATTTTAGAAACTATGGCTGATCCGCGTTTTGTTCAGCAACCCAGCCTTGACTACAAGTCTATACAGCCGAAGCGGCAGACTAGAAAAAAATCTTCTAATGTGCCTAAAATGTCTTTAGAACCGAGCTTGCAACAATTTACATCAACTGAGCATTGTTCATGCCATCATATTAGCTCTACTCTACCAGCGAGCGGAAAAGAGTTACTTTATTCTAAACAGCCATTAAATTCCAGAGGACAGTCAGCAGATGAGGAATCGATAAAACATCGGAAAAAGTCGAATGAAAGACACAAAAATTTTAAAACTGGGTCTGCTTCGGCCACCTCCTTAACTATCACTTCTACACCATGTGTCCATACCTCTGAAGAATTTCAGATAGACTTATTGTCTGAATCAGAAGCACGATCGTCTCGAACTGGCTTGCAACAGAGAGGTCTTCTATCTGCGCAGAAAAGTATGGATAATAAGGTTTGTAGAGAACATGAAATTACAGCCATATCTTTGGCCGAAAAAGGCAAGTCATCGATATCTCATCATCCGGATGAACAAATGCCTGGTATTTTGGTGAGCAATCAAATTACTAGTAGGTCATATACAAAACATTATGCTAATAGCGAAAAACAGGAAGCCGATCTGGGTCACTCTATGGCACCACTAGGCCATGTTATTCGGAAGCCACAGAGTGAATCAGGACATTCCAATGGTTTACTAAAACAAAATTATAAAGGAATTACCAAGTCTATGAGTAAGTCAGAAAAACAATGATTAACTTTGCTAATAACTGCCGATCAATTAAAATTTAAACTTCACATATAAACTTTTCTTCTCTCAAAAGGGTGCTCTGACTTAGATAGTAGGAATAATGATTAAATTATACATTAAGCCATTTCGTGTGCTTGTGTATCCACTTGCTTAATAGAAATTTCTAAACGAGTAATATTTGATCAACAGGAAATAACAGAAATAATGAGTAAATATAACATTCTATTTTTCTGAGATAAAGGGTGTTTCAAGATTTAAATAAGAAATAAAAGGGAAAAATCGTTATTTTTTTTTGTAGGTAATTAATTCACCCAGCTTTTGAAGGGGTGAGAAGGGAGCAATAACTTTCTGCTTTATTTATTGCTAAATATGTGATTTAGTAAACTATAATATTCATATTGCTCAAACAGGATTGCGTGAAGCTGAATATACAAGAAATAAATGAATCTGAACCAATTCAGTCAAATATTAAAAAAATTAATGGTAGACTATAAAACTTCTGCCAAAATTTAGGCCAGATATGCACTTAAGGCAGCATTTAGATAATAAGATAGAATGCACGATGGAATTTCATCAAGCAATTAATATATTCAGAAAACCAACTATATTTTAACATTCTGCATAATACTTAAACTTGCTGAAATGTCTACCTTAATTTATATAATTAGGTAGAAACTTTAATGAAAGATATTCAGAAACTAATGCTCCCTTTGGCATCATAATACTTCAGGCTTACTTAGATTCTTATAGAAAATCGGCGACATATCTATATAATATAAGATCAGTATGAGTTCTTAGGTAATTTGATCCCTGTTTTTCTCCCTACTTGAAAATTAATGAAGTATATTTAGCAAGCTACAGATTTGATTTAATAATTTATCTCAATGAAGTAATATTTTGGGTTAAATTTATTACAGCACAATTATATAATTAAATTAAAAAATTCTAATAAACAACACATTCTGTGCTCTTTTTTTAGTAAGCCATTTTGTGCATAGTTTCATTCATCCTTTTTTATCTGTAATTTGAAACCAGATGACAACCAAATAAAAGAAAAACGAAAGTTTTTGAGTATTGTGTAGTTTTGCCACAGAATATGGTTTTAGATATGCACATAGAAGGGCAAAATATCAGTAGTATAAAAATAGAAGGCGTTCATGTCGTTATATTAGAGATTTTAAGTAGATGCAAGACTAAGGAATC